ACCTGCCATTTTCAAAAATGTATTCAATTCTGTTCTCTTAAAAACTAAATTGCCATTTCTGGTGCTTTTTGCCAAGTATCTTCGAAACTATTGGACCTGAAGTGGCCAAAAACTAATCAGCACGTCTCCCCCTCAATACAAATCGAATGATTTTTGAATAATTCAAATCGGCCAATGCTCTCACACACATAAACACTTACAAATATACTTCCATTTTTTCTAAGGTATGCCAAAATGTTCACAATGTTTTGAAACGTGAAGATATAAAAAAAATCATTTTTGATTTTTGCGTTTCAATAAATTATCGTAAGAAAGGCAGGTCTAGCGGTTTCGGACATCCAATAAAAAAGTAAAAAATGCCATTAAAATCTTTTTACCCCATATGCGGGGTAAAATGAGACGGCCTAATAGCAAACACGTCCAATGTGTTATTTTTAATTTTAAAGGGATTTTACGAAATAATAGCTACGTTTCGCAACCATTGCAAAATATAAATTTCATGGAAACATTTTTACAGAGATAACAGTGTTTTCATAACACTGTATGTAACCTTGATCTGGCATTTCGTCAGAAATATTCATCAGCAGATTTAGAATAACTATTATATTAATTTATTTCTTGTAAAGCTTTTTTAACTGAATTTTCATTTTTATTTACTTTTTTGCGAGGGTAAAGGTTCAGTTAGTCCTTCTTACCCCACTCACGTGTAAGCTTTTATAGTGATTATTCAAAAAAACTGATAAATCTAGCCTAAAATTAACAATACATCTGATAAAACAATTAAATAACGTATACTTAAAAATTATATTAAAGTCTCGTAAACTAAACAACGGCGCTCACAACCAAAACAAATAACAACGAAAGAAAATATTTTGAATAATAATATTTAAACACTGCCGTTTATCTCATGATAGTGTGGTCGTAAGAATTAAGGCGATGTCTGGTTATGGATTTTTTACCACCTACTTTCAAATATTATTAGAAAATTCTTTAATTTACTTGTTTTTGATATATCGGTGGTAGCCCTTTTTACTTACGGACCTTCAAGCCCCGTTCTACTCCATGTAGTAATTTACAAAAACAGTGTTTTTCAGCCTTCTTTCAACAGGAATAAATTTAGGAAGAAAAAACATCAAGTGAAAATGAATTTTTTTTCTAATATTATATGCAAAATGAAAAATGTAAAAAAAATATTTATGCAAGTAATTATTTAATAAGTAAAAAAGAAAGCCATTTCATTACTTTTATCATATGTAAAATAAAAAATGTAAACAAAATTATATATGTAAATATATAGCCTTCTAATCTATCTAATACATGTATATGAATCAAATAAAGATTCTTTCATTTTTGTTTGATATTGTCTTGGAAAACATATATTTCAATATCTAAATTAACTAACTAATATGTATATATATATATATATATATATATATATATATATATAGCAATAATTAACTATAACTGTTAGACAGATATATCCATCAATGTGTTCAATCAGCAATTTGAATAAAATTTAATTATGCTTAGTTTGCTGTCATTACTTTACGAATTTGGTTCACATTTAATCGATTTAAATAATTCGCATTTTTATTAGGTCAAATGTACACAAGTTTCTTGTAATTTTTACCTGTGTTTGAAATAGTCTATTCATTTCATTAGTATAAAGTAGAATATTCAAATTTTATTACAATGTTCAAAGAGAAAAGAATTAATTTAGAAATTGATCTAGAATTTTTAATTTGAATTAGGCATTTCATATATGTATATTTAAAATTTATGCCATATTAATTGCGATTGTTTCTTGATTTTTGTTTTTTATTTTATATGTAGATAGTTATATGTAGTATAGTTTTATATGTAGAAATTAATTAAGTCTCAAAACTTGAACAATAATAGTACCTACTCTGTCTTTATTATAATTTTGTTATTTAAAATATATTGTATTGAAAGTGTTTTCGAACTTCAGAAATTAGTAAAATTTTAACAGTCAAATTAAATTCAATTTTGACTAATTATTTATATATATATACACTTTTTCATATGAAAGCATTTATTGAATAAGAATAAATAGGCTTAGTGTTTCATGGCAAATTGCTGGAACTTCTCGTACCGTAAACCAATTTTGAAAATTTTTGAAAATTTTTTTTTGAGAATTTTGAAATTTTTTGATAATTTTCATTTTCGATTTCTTGCGATTACCATAACTTACCCTACAAAAAGTGAATAATTTATTTATATATTTGTTATTTAATTAAATGAAGAAAAAAGCTTTCTACAGTAGTTTTAAAGTTTTTTACAGTATCAATAAAAAATACAACCAAATTAAAAAAATGCAAAATATAATATTTTAATACTGTATTTGGAATATCAGATAAATTAAATTATAATCATGGATTTGTATAAGAATTGATTTGTTCTTTACAATTTTTTACACTTATAAAATTCAGTGAGAATTTGTAAATTTTATAGATAATTTAAATAATTATCACAATTTTTTACACTTATAAAATTCAGTGAGAATTTGTAAATTTTATAGATAATTTAAATAATTATCACAAAGAAAGTTCTTTAAAAACCGTACAAAATGTATTTATAAAATATTTCAAAAATAGTTTCAGTAAAATAATAATTTTTTTCTGAATAAAGTTCCAAATATCTATATAATAACCGTATGCAATTTTTTGAGACCTAAAATAATGTAATTGGTTCAAATATTTATGATTTAATATTATAAATATTAATTTATTTTTGTAATAAAACAATTGTTAAAAAAATATTCACAAATACCAGTTATTTAAATTATTCATAAAATATTTCGAAAATAGGTTTAGAAAAATAGGATTTTGCTCAATAATTTTCCAAATAACTATATATCGCTATATTAAAACGTATGAAAATTTTTTGAGGCTTGAACTAATGTAATTGGCGCGAATATTTAAGATTTAATAGTAGAAAAATTTTTATGTATCATAATTAAAATAAATATTTAGCAAATACTTACAAATTCGAGTTATTTAAATTATTCATAATATGTTTTGAAATTAGTTTTGGTATAAATTTTTTTCCGAACATTTTTGTAAATATCTAAAAAAATTTTTCAGACCTAAGAAATGTATTTTGGTCGAATATTTTATTTAATATTATATTATTATTCTATTAAATAATTAATTTTATAATGAATTTATTTTTCTATTAATTATTTTAAAATATTTACAAATTCGAGTTCTTTAAATTATTCATAAAATATTTCGAAATTAGTTTTAGTATAAGTTTTTTTCCTAATATTTTTGTAAATATCTAAAAATTGCTATAGTAAGACGTATAAAATTTTTTTCAGATTTAAAAAATGCATTTTGGTCGAATATTTGATTTAATGTTATATTATTATTTTAATAATTTATTTTTCTATTAAATAATTAATTTTATAATAAATTTATTTTTCTATTAATTATTTTAAAATATTTACAAATTCGAGTTATTTAAATTATTCATAAAATATTTTGAAAATAGTTTTAGTAAAGTAAGATTTTTTTCAATAATTTTCTGAACATATAAAAACTGCTACACCAAAACGTATGAAATTTTTTTGAGACTTGAAAGAATGTATTAGCTTCGAACATTTGTAATTTAATATTATAAATATTTATTTATTTTAAAATTAAAATAATTATATAGAAAATTACAATTTTGATAGAATATTTACAAATTTATAAAATATTTCATGAATAGTTATAATATAAAGTTTTGTTTAAATCATTTTCTAAATATATAAAAAAATATATTTAAATTTATGAAATTTTTTTTAAGACTTATATTTTGTATTTTGTTCGAATTTTTGTCATTAGGATAATTATTTAGAAAAATTTACAAATTCGAGTAATGCAGCAAGTACTGATTTAAAATATATTACGCACTCCAATAAAATAAATATTTTGTTTATATCAATTATAAATTTTATCAGGTGTTATTATTATAGATTACATATAATATTAATTCAAAACTGTCAAAATTAATTGAAAAATTAATTAAATATATTGAATTGATAAAATTTAAATATTTCGAATATAAAATGTTATTTTTATTATTACTCATAGCTCAAGTCGGATATAAATGCACACGGTGGACAAAACAAATTTAAAATCGGTTCAGCAGTTTAGACGTCCATCGCGAACCAACATCGTGAGGCGAACTTTATATAGATATATAGATATATAATTATAGATATAGATATATAACCGCAAATATATTTTATTATATAATCTATATAGATTATACTAATGATTATTCTTTATATTTGTACTCTTTGCTTTTTTTATTTCACTCTAATTTATTTTTTATTTAAAGTATTAAAAATACTAAAATAACTTCTGCTCATTATAAAACCAATAAAAATTTCCGCTCATTTATAGCATATATAATAAATTTTCTTTATATTTGCTAGGTGTCTACTAAAAATGTTTATACTCTACAATCATAATTTAGACACCATTAAAATCAATATTTACCTTGTTTGTTTCATTAACCTCATGTGTGATAATGCTACCCTCAGTGTATCGGTTATTTTAGCACCTGGTTATCCTCATTTGTCAATTTACTAACCATCTAATGGAAAAATCTGCAGACGTTGGATGGTATTGATCATGTTCCTGGCGCAATTCTACATATGCGGCAAGGTCAAGTTTGTTCCGGTTGGGAAGAAATGTTGGTAAACAAATATTTCGCCTGCAAAAATGTTTATTCTAATGTATTGTTATTTTAAATAAAATGTGTATATTATGAGAACTTTTATCTTCCTATTTTATTTTATATTAGGTATATATAATAAAATTTTATAGAGGTTTATACATAGTTATTTTGATCACGTATTACAAGACGTAGCATTGCAAGGTAAGATTTTATTAAAAAGTTATGAATAGAATGATACAATCTAGAAATCAAAGATTCAAATTTGCATTTTCGTAATTTTTAACTAAGTCGATTATTTATATTACTTCTAGATGCTGAAATTTATTATAATCGCTGCTTTACTATGTGCGACACAAGCCGCCAAATTACCTTGTTTTGAAAAACCCGTTGAATGTGCCAAACCTCTGCATCCACTTTTACAATGGCTCGGAGGCTCCTTTGCCTGGCCATGCCCATCTACAAAAGCCATCTACAAGAGCTCTGGTCGCTTTATCCCGAGCAATGTCATCGCCACCCGTGCCCAGATATTAAGGGATGAAATCTTCGTCGCTCTGCCAAGATTCAAGCCAGGCGTCCCAGTCACTTTAGGCAAAACCAGTTTGAAGAAGGGTTGCGCAGCTACATTTGCTCCATTCCCATGCTGGTCCATGCAGGAAGAAGGCAACTGCAACGCCTTGCAAAGCGTTGTCGATGTTTTCCTAGACAGACAAGTAAGATAAGAAGCACAAAAATTACTTTTCTTTATAATATTTCAATTACATTACTAACTTACTTTGGTGTCTTCAGGAAATCTTGTGGGCTTTGGATACTGGTGTAACTGAAACTTTGGAAAATCCAATTCGTCGCTGTCCACCCAAGGTTGTTGCATTCGACACCAAGACTGGCAAAGCTTTGAAGACCATCGATTTATCTCCCTTGACATCAGAAAACTCTCGTCTCCAATACTTCGGTGTCGAATACTCTCCTGATGGCCGTGTCTTCTTATATGTGAGTGATGCTGCTACACGCGCTATTTTGGTATACGACGTCCAAGCTAACAAAGGATTTAGAGTAGTTTTACCTAAACAAGTTATAAACGGCTGTTCTCGCAAAGACGTTTTGTACATTGCTTTAGTCACAAAGGATTGTGGAACCAACTACTTGTATTTCACTTACCTAAGCAGTTTGAGAATGTTTGCTATCAGAACTGACTATTTACGCCAAGGTTGTGCCCAGGGCCGTATTCAAGATTTAGGACCAAAACCCACTAAAATTGTTATCCTCGGTACTGATGGTGGTTCTGCTATTTTCTTCAGACACGAAGGCCACAGCAACGTTTATAGATGGGATACCAATACAGAATTCTTACCAAAGAATTTCAAAATTGTATACCGTGGTGACAATTGTCATTTGGCTACGCATGCTATGCCAGATCTCAAACACCAAAAAATGCGTGTTCTAGAAAGTAATTTCCCTGATTTTATTCAAGGAACGGTTGGATGCGGCGCCTCTCAACAATTATCGGCTTTGCAAGGCTGTTGGTGAAGGAATAAATTTTACTGTGAAAAAAGAAAAGACAAATAATAAAGTAGTATAGTGTAGTGCAATCGCGTTGTTTACTGTGATGGTTCTGTACCAAATTTTGATAGAACAAATGCACGATGATAATTATGACCGTGGAGAATTTAACTCCGTAAACCTCATATTAATAAAGTATGAAGAAAATATTTACAAATTATTGTATATTATATTATTTTAAGCAAAACTTAATAAAATGAAAAGTATTTAACAAATTTTGATTTGTTATTTTATATTACATTTTTCAGGTGTTTGGGAGCTAGAAATTTTTAATTTTTACAATAATGAATGTGCAAAGATAGAAAGAAAATTAAAGCGTTGGAAATACTATCTATATAAAGGATATATAATATATATATATATATATATATATACTAACAAAAGCTTGAAATTGATTATTTTACCTATTTACCTTTGTTCAGTAGATAAATACTAATAATGATTTGAACTAAATATGAATAATAATGTTCTAAAAATTAAAAAATAAAATGATATACAAAAATAGTATATTATAAAAATAATACTATAAAATATTTTAAACAATAATATTAAAAATAATATTGTATATAGTATATATAATAATTTCATTTCATATATTTTCTTCTGCGACGGCCCTAAAATAAAATAAGTATAATTAATAATATTAGATAACCACGCTTCACTTCTTATCTAACAAACAATTCTATTCATAGACTTTCAAAATCTCTGACAAGGATTGTTGTGTATCGGCCAAAATGTAGCCAAAATTTAATAGATCTTAAGTAAATATACACACAAATATATATATATATATATATATATATATAATATATATTATAATATATATAGATATATATATGTGTGTGTGTGTGTGTTTAATTTGAGTTTAAAATTCGGGTGTAACATCAATAAAAATAGTATGAGAGTTTTTTTAAAAGTTTATTTATCTAAAATCCATACGTTTCGGCTAGCATCTTAGCCATCATTCAGTGGTAATCAAATTAACTATAAAAATTGAAACTAAATAAGTTATATGTAAGAAATTTCATAAAAAAACAATAATAATAATAATAATAATAATAATAATAATAATAAAACACTTACAATTTTGTATCCTAATATAGCATATGAAACCATTATTAATCCATATTAATCTAAGATGCTAGCCGAAACGTATGGATTTTAAATAAATAAACTTTGAAAAAAATTGTCATACTATTTTTATTGATGTTACGCCCGAATTTTAAACTCAAATTAAACATATATCAACATCAAATTCAAGACTATTCAATATATATATATATATATATATATATATATATATATATATATATACACATATGCGACTTGTATGCGTAAAAAAGTCGCATAGGCCACATATGATTTTCTGATACCATATACCATATCTCTAAAATGAATTCTGATGTCCCGTGTATAGACCCAAAGATTGGGTCAAATTTAAAAAAAATCCTGTTTTGGCTCATTTGGAGCGCCCCAATAGTGTCGAAATATATAACCGACCCCCAATAACTTTGGAAAGCCGAAATCGATATACCCATGTTTATGGTACACCCCCTGTGAGCTTCCCTTAGAGGTCCCGCATACAAAAATTGCATCATTTGTCAACATGACAAAAATCAGCGATTTATTTTTATTATAAAATCTATTTAATCATAACATATGTAAATAAAACTATGTAAAACTTATAAATTATTGCTTAAAGCGCCTTTTTTTATTTCAAGTCTGGAAAATTTCGCACGGCTGTCTATTGTCGGCGCCACAAAAGAAAAATTGAAACAAAAAATTTTAATATTTTTTTTGTGAAAAATTTTTTGTGTGTCTAAATTAATATCAGAAAAAATGGTTTTAAAAAAACATTTTTTGCTAAAAATACCAAAAACAATGATTTTTTGCAATTTTTGCATGGAAGACCTCTAAGGGGAGGTCTCAGGGGTTGAACGAACGGGCATGTGTGGATCGGCCTTTTGAAGTTGATGGGGGTCGGTTATACATTTGGACGCAATTGGGGCACGCTAAATGTGCCAAAACGGAATTTTCAAAAATTTAACCCTTATCTTTGGGTCAATGCACGGGACATCATAATTCATTTTAAAGATATGGTTTCTTCAGCAAAGTATCTTATTTTGTTCCTAGTATCCAAAACCCATATATGCCTAAGCGACATTTAAATCGAATAGATATTTATATATATATATATATATATATATATATATATATATATTTATATATTAGGGTATATAATCAACAAAGAACATTTTAAGTAAAATTTATACTAAGTATTTCTACCTCTATGGGCCTTCAGTTCGCGGGCGTTTGCCAAACCTCGCTCCTCTGTGTCCCCGGTGCCTCCTCGGTCCCCTATAATTAGGGTTAAAAATATTTGGGCCCCAAAACCGAGGTGGTGGGTGGGGATGCATGGGACCCAAAAACGGGTGTGGCGGTACTGGATACATTCCGGGTAGAATTGGACCGAAAAGAAGTGGTGGAGGAAGAATGGTGGTATCTACTATTGTAGGCTGTGGATTAATTTCCGAAGCAGACGTAACAGGTACGAGTTCCTGTAAATATTTTTTTTAAAATAATATCGATATTTAATCATTATTATTATTATTGCTTTTTTGCTTTTATTAGAACTGTTTATTGTGTTCCATAAGCTGCAGTGTACTATCCTTAATATAAAAAAAGCTCTTAGCCCAGTCATCTTAGGTTAAATTAGGCAAGAATCTCGTAATGTGAGATACCCAGCTGTAACTTTGTAAATAGTTGTATATTGACACCCTTAATGTTGTCTCAAAACCTACATATGGTAGGGTGTGCGCAACTATAAAATTTCGGGGTCAAAGGTCACAAAAATCGCGGTTTTTCGCTTTTTTTGTAAATATCTCATTTCCTATGGGTTTTTTGCTATTTATGTTTATTATCAATATTGTAGAATACAAAATTCTCTACAAATTTTGTTTGAAATTTTTTTTTATACGGTGAACCGTTTTCGAGATAGAGGGCGGAGAGCGCGCGGTCATAGCATCCCTTCAGGTCAACCGATGCCTTCGGTCAAAAACGCGCCATATATAGTTGATGAACTATCGCTAGATTAATGATTATAAACATTTGTCAATTTTTATTAACTATTTTATTATATTTTGTCATTTTTTTCGTGCCTTAAATCTATATTTATTCAATAATACTGATCACCTAAATTCAGATCACTAAAATTAAAAAATAATTAAGGAAAAAACTTAAATCATAATATGATTATTGTTTCACAAACACTCTTAAATTTTAAATAGAAAATAATTAAGTGCATTTTCTTTAAATGTAATGTAAATTTCAAAATCCTTCCATTCCTTCCAATCCAGCAGAGAAGATACTTTTTCTATTATAATTGATAAATACATAAATTATTTACAAAGGCATTACAGGTCCAAAATAATTGTTGTATTTGACGGATATTCAGACTACAGTAAGAACGTAAAAGCTATGGAGCAGCTGAGAAGAACTGCACTTTCAAAATCATATGAAGTATGTTTCGATAAAACAATAGTTGTACCAGTTTCTCAAGAATTTTTTTATCAAATTAAAATAATAAAATTAGGCTAATTAACATGTTAATAGAAAATTTAAAGGCTGCAAATATAACTACAAAACAAGCCAGAGATGATGCGGATGTCCTTATTGTTGAGAGTGCAATTCAAGAATCAATGTCTGGAAAATCTGCAATTATAATAGGACAAGATATTGATTTACTCGTCATTTTAATTGGGCGTACCCTGTCCCACGGAAAAGAAATTTTCTTTAAAAAAGTTGGGACAGGAAGTGTAAAAACGGAGATATACTCGACTAAAAGTTTTGATAATTATCCTCATTCCAAAACACATATTTTATTTCTGCACGCATTAAGTGGATGTGACACAACTTCTGGGCCTTTTAAAAGGGGAAAAAAAACATTTTTAAAAGTTTTTGAGAAACTGACAAATTTGGATGAACTAGCTAAAGCATTTGAGGAAGAAAATTGTTCGACCCAGAGATTATTAGAGAGTGGAACTCAAATCTTACTGGCAGTCTATAATGCTCCGAAATCTGTGAAAAGTCTCGATCATCTTCGTTATATTCATTACGTTAAGTCTACAAAACTTAATAAACCTGTTCAGCTTGCAAATATTCCACCAAAAAGTGCAGCTGCTCATCAACATTTTGAACGTGTATATTATCAAGTTCAAACTTGGTTAGGGCATGATTTGGAACCAAAGGTATGGGGTTGGGCAATGCGAAACGATTTTCTGGAGCCTATCATGACAATTTTACCACCTGCTCCAGAATATTTGCTAAATACAATTTTCTGCAACTGCAAGAGTGGTTGTGGTTCGCGATGCGGATGCAGGAAAGCGGGCTTGCAATGCTCTTTAGATTGTGGCCAATGTAATGGACAAGCTTGTTTCAATGCTTTACCATACCAGAGCGACATTAACGAAGATGAAACTTTGGATACCGAAATTATGGAAGAAATTGAAACAAATGACGTTGAAGACGACAATGAAGACCAGTCTGAAATTCACCAGCAGCCGGAAGACGACGATGAAGAGGAAGAAGATGATTAAAATTATTAATTGTAGTTTTGTACCCTTTATTTCATTTTATTACTTTGAAAAAAATAAATGTATAAAATAATATTTTTTAATAAAAAGATAAATTCCTAATTTATTTGTTTTTTTATCATGTAAGAATTTATTAATAATAATTAGGTTTAAATTTAAATATAATTCTTATATTAACAATTCTGCAATTTAATGGGCAGGTAAGTGTTGTTAAATAAATTAATACTGAATAAAAAGTGGATAGGTTAGAAAAAAATGACAAAATATAATAAAATAGTTAATAAAAATTGACAAATGTTTATAATCATTAATCTAGCGATAGTTCAACAACTATATATGGCGCGTTTTTGACCGAAGGCATCGGTTGACCTGAAGGGATGCTATGACCGCGCGCTCTCCGCCCTCTATCTCGAAAACGGTTCACCGTATAAAAAAAAATTTCAAACAAAATTTGTAGAGAATTTTGTATTCTACAATATTGATAATAAACATAAATAGCAAAAAACCCATAGGAAATGAGATATTTACAAAAAAAGCGAAAAACCGCGATTTTTGTGACCTTTGACCCCGAAATTTTATAGTTGCGCACACCCTACCATATGTAGGTTTTGAGACAACATTAAGGGTGTCAATATACAACTATTTACAAAGTTACAGCTGGGTATCTCACATTACGAGGTGAAATGCTAAAATGACTGGACTATCTACCTTGTCTAGTTTTATCAAATGGTTTCCTAAATAGATGGAGAGAGCAGATTTTAAATATAGCCGTTTTTGATATAACGTTAATAAAAGGTCAAATTTCCGCTGACAAACTCACAAGTACATACACACACTATTTGCAATTTTGTTGTCAAACAATTTAGATCGACAAAAAAATAAAATTTTTGAAATCGTACTCTCTCCTTAATATAAATTTAATTTAAGGATAATCAAATCAAAAAATAAAATACAGAGAAAACTTTTTTTCAATTGTTAGTTTTCAATAAGCGAACAAATTCCATCTCCAAAATTCATGATCTGGCAAATAATTTTATAACTCAACGACAAATCACACTTATTATGAAAGTATTTGCATATTTTAGAAAAAAGGAGTCAAATTTTAAATAAAACATGACAATAATTGTTACTTTTAATACATTTAACACTTTAAGAGAAGTTTTTATCAATCCTAGCGCCCCTAGGAGCAAAAATTTTAAAAATATTCATATTAAGGACCACCCTAATATACATATATAATATATATGTATATTAGGGTGTATATAGGGTGGTCCTTAAAATGGTCATTTTCGAATTTCCTTGCTCCCAGGAGCTCAAATTGTTCCAAATAGATAAAAAACAATTCTCTGGAAATTTTAGCTCTTCATATTAGCGTTTAAATAGAGCGCAATTCAATCAAAGTTTTGTATGAAAATAGCATGGAAAAATTTTCAAAAATTTTAAAAATGTTTTTTAGATGTAATTTAGCGAACAAATGAATGAATAAAACTCATTCATTTATCACTAAGTTATACCTAAAACATTTTTTTAAATATTCAAAATTTTTTAGATGCTCTTTCCATGCATCCTGAGCCCCTGGGAGCAAGGAAATTCGAAAATGACCATTTTAAGGACCACCCTAATATATATATATATATATATATATATATATATATATATATATATTGAAAATGTTTAAATTTGATGTTGAAATGTATGATTGATTTCTTGGAGGGCGTAACATCAAGTAAAAAAAAGAGAGTGAAGTAAAGATTTTTTTCAAAACATCTTTATTATTCCATACGTTTCGACGTAAAATTCTACGTCATCTTCAGTGGTTTTGAATTATTTATATTATCACTAACACATATTAATTTAACTTGTAAAAATTAATAATTATAGACAAGCACTAACTGTCAGTAATTTCTTTTTTTAATAAAAAGAATAAAAGATAAAAAGTGATTACTAAATAAAATATTATACGTAATACACTTGTATCCGAGGCACAGTGCCAAACAGAATGATCCAGGGGGTCAAAACTAGGGAATAAACCATACCTCTAAAATGAATTCTGATGTCCCGTGCATTGACCCAAAGATAAGGATTGAATTTCGAAAAATTCCGTTTTAATCTATTTAGAGTGCTCCAATCGCGTCCAAATGTATAACAAACCCCAACTAGCTTTGAAAGGCCAATCCATCCATGCCTATGGTCACCCCCTGGGACCTCCCCTTAGAAGTCGCCCATACAAATATTGGAAAAAATCATCGTTTTTGGTATTTTACTCAGCAAAAAATGTTTTTTTGAACTTTTTTTTCAGATATTAATTCATACACACACAAAAAACTTTTTTACAAAAAAAAATATTGATATTCTTCTTTGTTTCAATCTTTCCAATATTAGAGAGCCGTCCAAAATTTTCTAGGCTTGAAACTAAAAAAGACTTCAAACAATTGTTTGAGTTTTACATAGTTTTATTTACATATCTCATGATTAAATAAATTTCATAATAAAAATAAATAGCAGATTTTTGTCATGTTGAAGTACCCAAAATGATGCAACTTTTCTATGAGGGACCTCTAAGGGAAGGTCCCAGGGGGTAATCTATGTGCATGGGTGAATCGGCCTTTCAAAGTTACTGGTGATCGGTCATACATTTGAACATTATTGAGGCGCTCTAAATGAGCCAAAACAGGATTTATTAAAATTTGACCCAATCTTTGGGTCAATGCACAAGGGGATCAGAATTCATTTTATTTTGATATCTTATTTTGATCCCTAGTATACGAAAATCATATGTGCCTATGTACCCATACAAATCGACCTGCCCTAATATATATATATATATATATATATATATATATATATCAGGGTAGTCCTTAATATGAACATTTTCGAGTTTTATTGCTCCCGGGAGCTTGAATGCTTGTAAATTGATAAAAAAAAATCTCAAAAAATTTTAGCCTGTATATTAACTTTTAGATGTGCGCAATTCAATAAAAGCTTCGTATGGAAATAGCATGGAACAAATTTCGAAAATTTTTAAAATGTTTTTTAGGTATAACTTAATCGACGAATGAATTAAAAGTGACAATTCGTGTCATCTTTTATTGAAAATTCGACGCTCTACAAAAAAGGTTTTTTATAATTTGTTTTGTAGAGCGTCGAATTTTAAATAAAACTCATTTATTTGTTCGCTATGTTATATCTGAAAAACATTTTTGAAAATTCTTCCATGCTATTTCCATACATAACTTTGATTGAATGGCGCACTATCTGAAAGTCAATATTAAGAGCTAAAACTTATAGAAGATATTTTTTATCAATTTGGAAGCATTTGGGCCCCTGGGAGCAAGAAATTTCGAAAACGTCCATATTAAGGACCACCCTAATATATATATATATATATATATATATATATATATATAAATTTCTACTTAAATTTTGTTCACCTGCATGGATTGAGGTGGGTCCTGCATGGATTCAAGTGGTTCCTGCATTGATTCAAGTGGTTCCTGCAATGCCAACATTGTAGTTTGCTGGTCATTTTGTGTTGACTTTGGCGTCGATTGGTGTGAAGTGTCTGAAGGGAATCCGCTAATGTCTAGATCCAGAACATCTGACATTTGGTCATTTTCTATTCTTTCTTCATTATCCTTATCTTCAGATCTACCCCGAGGCGTTGAATGGTCGATGCCATCACTAAAAAAAATTATAACTATCAGTAATATGAGACAAATGCAAAATTATTAAATGATTGTAAATCTAAAATCAAAAACTTGCAATATTATTATTAGAAAAAGCTAACGTCATAGATAAGGAAATAGTTCACTTGAACGATATTATGTGGCCATGTGAACTTCCCGTAGGGTAAGATATAGTAATCGCAAAAAAATCGTAAATGAAGTTTTTTATATATCTTTACGTTTCAGAGGTTTCTGGATATTCTCGCATGCCTTAGAAAAAATGGATGTATGTGTGTGTATGTGCGGATACAAATTTTCGTCGACGATTTCGGAAAAACCGATCAACCGATTTGAACAATTAAAAAGAATCATTCGATTCATATTGATAAAGAGACGTGCTAATTAGTTTTTGGCAAAGACAGATCTAAGTTCCCAAGATCCCGTTCTAAAGAACAGTTCCCAAGAACCTTTCAAAAGATACGGGGCAAAAAGTGCCAAAAACAGTTCAAACAATTCAAAAAACCTTTATACTTGTATTGACAAAATGAAGAACTGATTAAATGTTTGGGATCTAGTAAAAAAGTACAAAAAAACGCCATTTGGCGGTCAAAGATGATTATTAAACATATGCACATCAAATTACTAGATATTTAATGGAGACTTTGATAATGTGTATTAGAGAAAGCAATATCGGTATACCGGTTTGAGAAACTAAGAATTTCACAAAAAAATACTTATTTACTTTATTTTACATATTTTGGAAACTCTGAACTTTCTCTCAAAGCAATCGTACTGCTTTAACTGCATAGAGACAAAATGTCAAAGCGCATAAGCGCCGCGTCGCCATCTAATGAATAAACATTGGTACGGAACCCATAGCAATGTAAACAAAATTTATACTTATTGTTAGAATCTCTATAAAATATCTGAAAATTTAATGTGCATATGTCTAATGATCATTTTTGACCGCCAAATGTCTTTTTTTTACTTTTTTCATTAGATCTCCGAAACCTTCTTCTTGTCAATACAAGTAAACTGCTTTTGAAATATTAAAATCGGACGCTCCGTTCTCTTAAAAACTGAGTTGACGTTTTTGGCATTTTTTGCCCCGTATCTTTGGAACGGCTAGACCTGCCTTCGCCAAAAACTAATCAGCATGTCTCCTTATCAATATGAATCGAATGTTTCTTGAATTATTTAAATCGGTTGATCGGTGTTCCCGAAATCGTCGACGAAAATTTGTATCCGCACATACACACATACATCCATTTTTTCTAAGATATGCCAAAATGTTCAGAAACCTTTGAAACGTAAAGATATATAAAAAATTTCATTTTCGATTTTTTTGCGATTACTATAACTTGCCCCACGGGAAGTTAAAAATGCTTTTAAAAATTTCCCATCTATTCATCTTCAGACTTCATTTTATGCCTTCAATGAATTGAGTCATTTTTATTTTCTTACAGATTATGCATGCATGTATATATATATATATATATATATATATATATATATATATATATATATATATATATATATACATCTGTGTATGTATACTTAAATTTAAAATAAAAACATAACCTTGATTTAATATAAACAATATTTATATATAAACAAATAGTGCGACGGTAAATTTAAAACTTAAAATATCAAGTATTGCAAAAATTTTAATAGTATTAATAAAATTAATTAAATATGATTTATTAAATTTGCAATTCTCAAACTATTGCGCCAATTATCAAAAATAAAAGAGTCAAAAATTTGAGAAAAAATTGTGATATATTCAGAGCCGCTTTCGAAACTAAGAGTAAGTGGCATTTTCCCTTAGTTGCATGAACTTCCCGATAGGTGTAAACTGTAAATAATTGACTTATATTGAGATTGAGCTGTTTAGATATTTCCAACTGTTTATTTCAAAAATAAACTTTTCACTTTCACAAAATCTAATCAAGGCGATTTTGAAGTGACATGTTTCAAACAGACTTAAAAATGTGTATTTTTGAAGTGACACTTCTTCAGGCGCGACTAGGGGGTAAACCTGTAAAAATTCAAAGAAAATAGCGTTACACGCGAACTGTTCGTCATTCGCTCTCGATTAGATCATTTCTATACGGGTCGATTGTGATTAGTCGTCGTGTCGAGTGAATAGAGATCTTTCGTCGTATGTGTACCGGCGTACATTGTATGCGCCACCGAGTAGCATTATATCGGAATGTCATTAGATTTTAAGATTACATCGTAGTAAAAATCTTGATTTAATAAAAAATGCCTGAATTGGAATAATATTTGAACCTGTCCCTGAAGATAATTAAAATAAAAATAATAATACATTTGTGTAAGAAACGTAAGTTTAGTAAAATAATTTCTATATTATTCATAGTTTCTATAAATCTTTGAAGTCATTAAAATAGAAAATATTTTTATAGGCAAGACAGATATTACAGTTGCTCTAAAAATGAGACTGTATCGCCAGCGAAAAAGTAAAAAAAAATACATGCATTCAATGAATGAATGTTAATTTTAATTACATAAATTTCTTCAAACACAATTACATGATGAGAGAGATTGTGAAAACAATATTTCTTTATGCGTTGTTAGACTAAAAAAATCGAAAATGAAAATTTTTATATATTTTTACGTTTCAGAGGTTTCTGAATATTTTGGCATACCTTAGAAAAAATGGATGTATGTGTGTGTGTGTGTGTGTGTTCGGATACAAATTTTCGTCGACGATTTCGGGAACACAGATAAAGCGATTTGAATTATTCAAAAAACATTCAATTCGTGCTGATTAGTTTTTGGCGAAGGCAGGTCTAGCCGTTCCAAAGATTCGGGGCAAAAAGAGCCAAAAACGGTAACTCAGTTTTTAAGAGAAAGGAGCGTCCGATTTGAATAATTCAAAACACATTTTACTTGTATTAACAAGATGAAGAACTGATTAAATTTACATGAACGCAGGTTTCGGAGATCTAGTAAAAAAAGTAAAAATAAATGCCATCTGGCAGTCAAAAATGATCATTAGACATATGCACATCAAATTATCAGATATTTTATAGAGATTTTAATAATAAGGGTAAATTTTGTTTACATTCCTATGGGTTCCGTCCCAATGCTTATCCGTTAGACGGCGGCGCGGCGCTTACGCGCTTCGATATTTTGTCTCTATATAATTAAAGCAGTACGATTGCTTGGAAAAAAAGTTCAGAATTTCCAAAATATTTCAAAATACACTTTTCTTCAAAAAGTCTTTTTTTTTCAAAAAAAGTAAATTTTTGTTAAAAATTTATAGTTTCCCAAAAATCTAATTTTTCAGAGTAATTTTTTTTCCAAAAATGTTAATCTTTTAAAAAAAAAATTTTGGTACGGGAAGTTCCAGCGATTTGCCCCACTAGTTTCTGTCTCTTTTTACCTTAAATGAGTTATAATTAAATCTTCTGAGTTTTTTTGCAGTATAAAGCATTAATTTGCAAACATATTCAAATGCAAACATGTTTGCAGATTAGGCAGGGGCAATGGGGAGTAAATATGTTTGCAAATTACTGCTGTATTCTACAAAAAAAATCTTAATAGGACATTGAATGATACGGCCTTGAAGGGAATATTCAAAAGTTATTTAATGTGAAAAGAGTCAGGAATACAACTATTATTTGTAGTCCTGAGTAATAATTTGAAAATTTATATTTGCAAAAAAATAACTAAGAATTATTTCACTTATTTACTTACGTTGCTAACAAAAATTTCGTTCTTAGTTTTGAAGAAGCTGCTAACAATTCATTCTTTGATTTCATGCAATTTCCAGGTTTATTATTTGAACTCAATTGCTTACTACGAGCATTAGTCACAAAGTCAGCATAAGAGAAATCAGTTGTCCGACGTGGGGCAATATCACGATCGCATTTTTTATTACTTTCGACTGCACTGGAAACACTCTAAAAAATATAATAACTTAATGAGTAATTATATTTATATGATTTATCTATTTACAGAAAATAATTTAGTAAAAATAACGTTTACGTTTTTATTTTCTGGCGCGAATGCACACCATTTGTTGTTAAGACTTTTGGCAGAAGACTAAAAATAAATGAGTAGTTATAGATAAAAATAAATGGGTAGGGCGAGGCACAAAAGTCCAATTTGACTTTGAGCAATTATATTGTAAAAACCAAAACAATTATATCACAACAAATAACACATATCAAACAAACAACGATCTGACTATGTTCAGTAAAACTTCCAGCCAATTCATAATTGTAACCGCAGCTTTTTTTGCTGTTTTTCAAAAAATTGCTTCTGTCTTTTTTATTCTATAGGCTGGTTAAAATAAAACGGTCAGAAGGCACCAAGTCCAATTTATAATTTTTTCACGAAATAATAGCTACATTATTCAACTAACGCATAATATACATTTCATCGGTTCATTTTTTAGAGATAACACAAAATATCATCAGCAAAGTTGAAATAGATATTTATTTATTTTATCTCTTGTAAAATTGCTTTTTTATCCTAATTTACTACTTCTTATTGTTTACTTCATACCATTGCCAGGGTAAAAGTTCAGTTGATCCTTGAAAAAATGTTGAATCTAACTTAAAATTACCAATACATCTTATAAAACAATGAAAAAACGTATACTTAAAAATTATATTAAAGTCGCGTTAACTAAACAACTGAAGAAAATACTTTTGCTATGGATATTCAAACATTATCGTTTATATCCCGATAGCAACATCGTAAAAATCAATATGATGGCTGGTTATACAACTTTTTCCTTCTACTTTCAAATATTGTTAAAAAATTATTTACTTTACTTGTTTTTATGATCTAAGTTCTAGAATAAAAGCATTTAAAACCGTATACTTAAAAATTATATTCAGGTATGGTAATCTAAATAAAAGATCTCAAAGCCATAAACAACTACCAACGAAAAAAATACTTTTGTTGTGAAAATAAATACCTTTCTGTTTATTTCCTAATAGCGACAGAATTAAAGAGAAGGCTGGTTATCTTTGGCCTTGTACTTTAAATTCGTGTCGTTTGAAAATTATATACTTGGAAAAAAATGTAACAAGGAATTTACAATGAAACATGCATGATAGTGGATCTTTTTATCTACCGACCTTAAGCCTCGATCTACTCCACCAGTTTACAAAGCCAATAATAATAAAGTATATAAATGTAAAAATTTTTTTGCTTGTTATTGATGGTTCCTAAAAAGGGAAGCAACTCTTATCCCCAAAATATTGAATTAGAAAAATAATTAAATAAGAAAAAAAATTGAAAAGGGGTGAGTTTTAGCTAAGTAGTTTAAATATTTGGTTTTGGTAATAGCAGTTTAGAACAGTTTTGAGATGTTACTTACATGTTCTAACGCCTCTGGTGCCTGATTACCAGTTTTGGTGTGTCATATTCGTATTCGATGACTGTTGTCTCAACACTAACACTGCTAGATAATCTGCAAGTGTTTTTGATGATAGATTTTTTTCTTTTATGGGAGCTTGAATTTTTAGAAACTGTCTCGCGCTCTTCTTCATCAGGAATTTCGAAGTTGTTCTCGTTGTAGGATACAGATCTTTTACGTTTTTTAGTTCGTTCTGATTTTCTAGTATCTGTTCTAGCTCTTGGATGTGAGTCAGAGTCGCTCGAAGTAGAGTCAGATTCATCGTTGTTTGAATCTGATTCAAAGTTCTCAGTTTCTGGTGCTTGGTTCGGTTTAACATTTCCTGCAATTGTAACGTCTACGATAACTTTGCTTCTTCCCACCCTATACTTCTTGCGATCATGTCTTACTACAAATTTCTCTTTTTTGAAGAAGTGTTTGGCTCTTTGCTTGAAGTTAAACATTTAGAAGTTGTTTTATTTTCCTGCTTCTGATCAGCCTCTGATTTAGTTTGGAAATTTTCGAAAAAAACATTGATCTTATTCGCGAAGTCCTTGTTTCGCTCGTCACTCATATAGTCCCATATTCGACGGGCTACTGCAACTTTCTCGGCTATTGTTTGCTCCATTTTCTCCTTAGCGGACCCTTTTAACTTTTCATTTACAGATTGATTCATTTCCTCGTGATCTGAAGCTTTAATTTTCTCATCTTCTGACTGTGATGACTTTGAATCAGATGAATTTGGAAGAGAACGTTTTGGTTCTCTTGCGTGATCATCATCGTTGGATCCGTCAGAACTTACTGGTCTATTAGTATGATCATCCTTTTTAGTGCCACTCATTTTGCTTCTTTCGATAAAACTTATTTGAATATGTAAAAGAGAATGTTATGTGTTACAAAATATTGATATATAAAATCTATAATGTGTTTATAAACTACACCTTGTAGAACTGACTAAATTGAAAAACGTCTTGCTCTTCTCAAATTTAATGTTCAAATTCTAAAAATATTAGTAAATATTAACAATTATATATAATAAAATAAAACGCAATAGCATAGATTCTAAATAATTGTAACATTAATTAATTGTTAATTAATTATTAAGGTCTGTCTGTTGAAAAAATATAAAATGGTGATAATAATAACTAATTTATAAGTTTAATTCAGAATCGAATTTAGTATTATTGCTTGAATTAGATAGTTTTTATTGAACCTCTGTCAGTTTTATTGATTTTATTGTATTTGTAGTAATAGACAAAAGTGCAATAAAA